ATATATGGTTTATATTTGTGTTTTTCGAGGGGAATCACCAAAACCATTATAATTTTTTCAACTCCAAACGTATGATGATTCCTTCTCCTCTAAAGTTCACTAATTCAAAATTTTGATCGAGCATCAGCAAAGTAATGTTGTTTATTTCACGTCGATTCACTGGTAGATAAATCAGGTTTTTAGGACTTTCGTTAATTGCACACCCAGCCTCGTCTGTAATAGAGAATTCGTATATGGTATGCGAAGGCCTATCGTTGTAGAAAGCTCCACCAGTAATATTGCTATCAATAGTTCTAACTTTAACTATATTAACGGGAAGATCTGATTGGTGATAGCTCCTAGGTTCCAAGACTCTTGATGGAGAATATCCTAAAACGTATGCGATGGAATCCTTTGTCTGAAAGTTAATTCCATGCACTGAACTGTACAGTTCACACTTAAGTGTATTCAGATTAGGTTTCAGCGAAAAAACGTCTTTCACTCGACCCCCCTTCCCTCCCTCACTGGCAACAATGTGCTTCTTAATATAGGATTCAAAATCTTCTATTTCATACGCACCCGTAGGAATTTTAGGTACACTATTATAGGAATAAAAAGACAATAAACTCACACCGTAACCGAACCCATCCTCTAATCTAATTGGATTCACAAAATCATTGACGTATGACTCTTCAAGGTGAATATCTGAGACATGACTGAGAGAGGCTACGGTAGGTCAGTTAGTTTTATAGAGAAATTCCAAACGAAGTTGACCACAGATGCTTTGATCATGATCGATGGCAGTAGCAGCAGCAGCATTTAAATATTTAACAAGTTCACGTGGAGGTTTAAGATTTCCAAAACTATCAAAATACTCAGCTACACTACCATTCTTTCTGTACGCTACCCAATGCGTTCCGTTGTTATTTTGTTCATCTAAATTAATTATACCACATTCGGTTCTTCTAGCACCACCTTTAGATATAGTATCTCGCATAAATAGACAGCGAAAAGGTGCTATTTTAAGCTTTTTGACAAATTTCCGTAAGTCCACATCATACAGAGCTCTATTGGGTAGCTTTATTGGTAGTTTTTTGGATGTTGTTGCTTTTTTAAAAATAAACCGAGACTGCCTCGAGCATTTCTGCGTAAGAACAGACCGGATTCTTGTTTTCCAATTTCTTCCATTGCTTTGTTATGTCGTTGATCTTCCTCGAGCTTTCGTTTAGCATTTCTAGAGTCGATTACAGTTTTGGCGACTGCACTAGCACCCAATACTCCAAAAGGCGCTGAGTCCTGCAAACAACGGCAACAGTGGTAAAAATCCTCCACTTTTTGCTTTAAACGGTATCACTCGGGGAACTCGAATATTTTTCCGTCTTCCAGCTTTCTATATTGCCATCCGTGCGGCTCTCAATGCCGAGGTACCGACGGAGCTATTTTGCGGCGTCATGGAAATAATTTTAAATTTTCATTTGCATTTCCAAGTGTTGTGCAACGATTTTGGGAAAAATTCCACGAATACTCTTATAAAGCATAGTAGAGTATATTTCAACAGTTGTCGGAGCTTACTCCACTGGGACCAGGGGGGTGAAACGGGATATTAATGCACAATCTGGCAACCATGTCGCAAACTCACAAAATGGCCGCTGACAACCACACAAGTCGCCGTGTTGTCGTTGAATAGCATGGAATTAAACCTCCTTCAGAGTTTATGTTTTGAGACTGGGACCAAGGGTTGACAGATCCCACACATGTGTCACTCGATGAGTCTTGAAATGCAGTAATCAGCTGTATTCAAATAATGTCTAATATAAATATAACCTAGTGTATGCGTACTCGTGAAAAAAGAAAAATATGGCAAATTTGTAGTTGTTTTGCAGGTTTTAGGTTTGCTGGTAGCTTTAAGGCATATATTTGGGAATTTCTTAATCGCTGTGAATATAGTGAGGATGTTTGTTCAGTTCCTGAACAACGAAAAATATTCAATTTTATGGATGTATGGATATCAAAAGACCTGAATGGTTTTGTGGGAATATCAATCTAAGGTGCCATAATGGTTCTGATGAAAGGCAAGTAAATGAATGAAAGTTTGGAAACGAGCAATATCTATGAACTTTTTGGTAGAGCCTGTCATCAACTAGGTGCTTAATGGCTATCTGGAAGAGGTTTATAGGAAAAAAACACGGGAGGTGATGTTAAATCAGTAAAATTGCATATCAATTGAAGAAAATAATATAAACATGAATAAAAAATCAACAATAGTAATTAAAACATTAATTTAATTCCAAAATCAAACATTTCTTTAAATTATGACTGAATTATATGTAATTTCTTAATATTCAATAAGCTGGTGATGTTCAATGACAAGATGTCATCTCATACTTTGACAGTATTTTGTTTTCAAGATTTCATAGCTATTGGTTGCTAAAATTTGTTGATTGGAACTTTAAGCTCATTCGTTGCATTCAACGGACTGTTACCCTATAGGTGGAGAATAATGGACTGTTGATTTGATAACCTTGGTTAAACCCACCCTTAGAATTGAAATGTTAAGTGCTATCAATTTTGTACACTATTATCATAATGTTCTAGATACTATATGCCTATATGCGGCTTACTTAAAAACAGCAAGCATATTTTAGCTCCTATAGACGTACTAAAGTCTTTTTGTGACATAACATCAAATTCTATTGAAGCGTATTGTCTCAGAGAATGTTTATATTTCAATATTGATCAAGTATTGATTGATTTGGATAGAAATTCCGTGTAAGCTTTTCGAACAATAAATGTGTAAAAAAAATGTTTATTTTCACACACACACACACATAAATAAATAAAACAACGAAATTGTAATTTCACATGTATGAAACATAAGCAATTATCTACATAGTAGGTACATTGTTTCAATACAAAATATATATATATATATACATATTCTATCATAGGCTTACAGAAACTGGGGGATGGACAATTTTTATATATATTTTTTTGTAATTTTTGTTTGCTGTTCCATGAATTCTGCACCTGATAATGTTATTGACTCGCAAATTTCTTCTCTAACAGCTAACTCTAATAATGTTGGTGCATTTATTTATAACAAAACAAAAAAACCTCCTATTATAAGATACTGTAATGCCCCCACGGAAGTGTGTCAAAACTCTCCGGAATTAAATAACGTTTATCGTCATACGGACTTGAACTAATTTTTGCCTGTACAACAGAATATAAGTTTTGTGCATACGCCTGAATAAAGCGTTGTGTAGCTGTTTTTTCCTTAAATTTTTGCAACCATTCAACATAATCCTCAAACGTAATTTTATTTTTAACAACATTGTCTTTAACCCCCTTAGATTTTTTAACCACCTTCCCATCCTGCACCTGGTAACTATACATTTTGCTTCGAAGCCCAACAAAATGTGTCATAATCTTGACGTTACTTTCATCTTTCATTAGACTAAGAACCTTTTTGTTCTTAGTATTTTATATATGTTATTTTCAGGATAATCCGAAGTGTCAAATTTACTGGAATCAGCTTTAATTATCGCCTCATATGCATCCTCACACTGAAACTCGTAGACGAAACTACCAGTGTCCATATACATTAGCCTACACCTATCTGTTCCCATTTTTGGTAACATAAAGGCGTAACGAAAATCATACATGTCCACCTTCGATAGGTCTAGAATTGCCTGTCCTACGTACAGAGGTTTGTTAAACGTTATTCCAGCCTTTTTCAATTCGATAACCACCAGATCTTCCTCTAAAATTGTGCGACTGTGGAACCGAAAACTCGAAATCAAGTTTGCTGCGCCTTAGCGACCACCACAAGTTTTAACGATTATACATATACGGTTCTTACGAATATTTCCCATAGTCTTACCAAATACACCGTTATTCATTTTTTATCTCAAAAGATTTTTTGCGAAATCATTCCTGGCTGCAGCCCTGCATCGAGTATTCAGCTCGATGTAGGGCTTCAGCCAGGCTGCTTGTTTAAATTGTAAAATTTTATGAATTTTCGTCAACTTTAATCCATTAGCTAGCATTTGTTATACATTTTTATAGTGATTCATGTACTCTTTTTTATCCGTAAGTGTCATTAATTTCGGTAATTTTACTCCGCCGCTGGGTCGTACGCTACGTTCTGCCGCAAACAGTAAATCTTTGTGGTTATCGTGCAGTTCTTGTGGGTACGATAGATCGACTTGTAGCACGTATTCTACTTCAGAGTCGTCTGATTTTAATGTTACATCAAACGATGTTACATCATCCACCCATTTGAAGCCTCCGTAGGGTAAAGGTTGCTGCATCGCGGCCCCATACAAATTACACATCCAGGTACAGCAGGTACTTGGACGGCTTTTCAGGATCATATTCAGACATATATTTATTGTTGGCCTGCGAAAATCGGTTGCTACACACCGAAATTCCACCTCTTATAGCGTTTTCGTAAAACATCACCATATCTAGATCCTTTAGTAGTTCTAACCTACACTCAGTCTATTTGAGGATACAGTCCCACGTATAGCCGGACATTGTATAGTACCACGCAGGATCCAGACCATAGGTGGAGAAACATTTTGTACGCAATTGCTCAGAAACGTCGGCAAGAAGCAGAACATCAGTAGTATAGCTATAGGATTACTAGACCACCTAAAATAGCATGTAAAATTGTACCGTAAAACTTATAGGATTTCTGGACCACTACAAAATCTGGACCAAAGTACATTCTAGACCAGTCTCTCTAGACCAAAAGTAATTCTAGACCAGTAACTCTAGACTAAAGTAAAAAAAAATTTCCCAACGCTCCTCCGTGGCCATCCCCCTTACCCTCCCGCGCGTGCGCGCATGCGCATGGGGCTAGTTCTGGTGGTGCTGGCGCGGGCGTACGGGGGGTGTAGATAGCGTTTGTGGGGGTAGGTGATGCGCGGGTAAGTTTGCGTTGTGTACTTTGGGATAGGGGTAATAATAAGCGATACGCTGTAAGGAGTTTATCTATCTTTATTTTGAGGTACGTTATGCATAAACAAAACATTGTACATCTTGTTTTGCTATTCTGGGAAACTTTTTCTTAAATTCTCCCACTGTATACTCTTGATCTCGATACTCTAGTTTTCCTTTTTCAACAGAATAGATAGTAAAACACGTCTATGTGTAAGTGATCTGGCTCATTTCATGTTTTGCAGTAAATTTTTGCATATAGATCGATAAAAGCCGATGAATAATCGTAATTATAGATGCAATTCTGTGGATTCAGTTTAAATGAAAAAACGTATGTATTATAAAATTCGCGGGAACAATGCGTATAGGATGATCTCAATAGTCAATACGTCATATTCAGTGCACATATAAAAATGGAATTGCTCATATGTGGTGCATACAGTTAATGATTAGCAATAATGCAGTTGCACCTTATTTGCTTACAGGCTTGTAAAGTGCGTGGGTGAAGTGATTGTAAATAATTTCTGGTAAGTTTTAGTTTTTAACATTGATACAATATTGAAAACATAGTACAGTCTATATTGTGTATCTAATAAATTCCAACAAGGCTAGTATTTTAATTTTGTTTTTGATGTATTGAAAGAGCAAATAGTTAGATGAATGCTAATATATTGATTTTTATGTTAACTTCTTGGTAACTTCTATCACTCGCAATTTTTTATTCATTCATTTTAGATAAACATGGACCTAAACAAGATAAATTAAATTGCAGCTACGGGCTACAGGAGTAAGCCGAAAAGGAGCCTGTACGAGCTACCGCTTAACCAATACCAGACTGTACTTTCATTAAGAATTCTACAAGGACGTTTTGGACAGGTGCCATTGGTGGAGCTACAAAATTTCGTAGTGTTTCTACCAGGGAGAGCGACAGAAGTGATCATCGAAAACCTAGAAAATTTCACTCCGGGACGTTAAGCAATTGCGTATACAGGGAGCGAGGCCAGCTCTTTCGGAGACAATCAATTTCACCATTTTAAGCTTAAGGATCTACACGAATAAGTAAGAACACTACTTGTATTATATGCTAAGATTGTTATTCTCAAGGTAAAGTAATATTGATTTGTTTTGAACGAAATTCAATGGACCTTTCAGAACCATTCAGCCAATCGGTTAAAAATACTGTTAAGCTTTTTAAAAAAGCTTATGAAACTCTTACTGAAAAAAGACACGCCTCTGAATCAGATAAAAAAACGTTGGATAAAAATGATTAATGAAAATTTAAAATTTTTTTACAAAGCTCTTAAAAAAATATATTGGTGTTAATACCCGAAAAGCTGTTCATACTGGTGTGGTACACTTAAAAAGGTATACATTTTTACTAGAGTCCTTTCATGTAGATCGTGGTACATCCAGTACACCAAAAAAGGTTGTATGGGAAGATACTGTGTCAGCCTTTGTTAGTCGAATCCATACTGGTGTTATTATAAATTTAAAATATGTTGATATACATGATTTTTTCCTAGATGCGGTCAATCTAGTTGAACATCAAATACAAAATAAATTGTCGGTAATGCTCATTTTGAAAGTAAATGGGACCTTTTGTGGTCAATTTATTAAGTCTTCAGATGGTATAGATATCAATGATTTTAAATATTTCAATACCAGAAATGCTATCATTGATAAAACTACAAATTTACAACAATGGTTTAAAGATAACATCGTTGATAAAATTTTAAATAAGTTATCAGAATTTCAAGAAAGATTAAGCGGTTGGTCGTTATTAACGATTATCTCCTTAGAAATTAATATAAATAAAGTGGAATTTGGTAACGTAACTTCATCGTACGTGAAATTACCTGCTCCACTTGCTCGGAAAAGGCGTGTATCAATATAAAAATCATAATGATAATGCATGCTTTGCCAGGTCTATAGTAAGTGCCCTTTATCCATCTGAAAGTCATACCGATAGAACCTCGTCCTATCCCCGTTATACGGAAGTTCTTAACTTAGAAGGGCTGGAAATGCCTGTTCGCTTAATAGATATAGGTTGTAAGTTCGAAGAAATGAATAAAATTTTTGTTAATGTTTTTGGAGCTGAGATGATTGTGCAGAACAATAAATCTTTCTATAACATTGTACCATTAAGACTCATGCCAAAAAAATTGTTAAAACATGTCAACCTGTTAATGATACAGAACAAATATTATCCCAAATTAAATGATTTCGAACCATTACCATTGGAAAATGACAATGATGATGATTTTAACACAGATGATGATGATTTTGAAATCACTTATCATTACGTGTATATCAAAAATCTTTCTCGTTTAGTACGCAATCAATTAAGTAAGGCTCACGATAAGAAATGGATTTGTGATAGATGTCTTCAATACTTCCATACAGAGAAGCAGCTAAATGAACGTGAAATCCACTGCCAAAAATTGAACGACTACAAAATATCATTTCCTAAAGACGGTATCCTAAAATTTAAGAACTTCCGATATGCGGAGAAAGTACCTTTTATAATTTACGCTGACTTGGTATTAATGTTACTACCATTCAGTGATTCAACATTGACGCATACGATCAAATATCAAAAACATGAAGCATTCAGTGCCGGTTATTATTTCAAGTGCAGTTACGATGATTCATTATCATTTTATAAATCCTATCGCGGTATAGATTGTATACAGTGGTTTTCAAAAGAAATGGAGGAAATGTCGAAGTTTGTTCAATCAAAACTTCAATTTGTTGTTCCAATGAATACATACGTTGATTTTAAAAATGTTAGTTCGCATTGCCATATATGTAAGAAACCATTCAAAGCTGACTGTAAAATTAAGGGACCACTGCCATCTGAGTGGTGATTTTCGAGGATTTGCACATTCTAAATGTAATTTAAATTATAAAAACTCGTTCATAGTTCCAGTTGTGCTTCATAATTTGAGCGATTGTGATTCTCATTTTATTATTAAAGACATTGCAAAATCTAATCGAGTTGTTTTGCTCCCATTAAATAAGCAAAAATATATTTCATTCACTATCCGAAATGTTGTATCCGATATTGCGTCCCGTTTCATAGATTCCTTTAGATTTTTGGCTGCATCTTTGGATAAACTTGTTAATTTGTTAGATATCCGAGCTTTACAGATATTAAAAAAAGAGTTTGGACACTTGAACGATGAAAAGTTTGAGTTGCTCACAAAAAAAGGTATATTTCCATACGATTATATTGACTCATGGCAAAAGTTGAATGAAACAGAACTACCTACACATGAACTATACTAAGTGGCATATAAATCCGAACACCCAGTTTAAATGGTTTTATTTTAATAAGAGTTGGTGAATGTATTTATCTTACTGTAAATAACAAGTGAAAAAATTTTCAGCCTTATCAGTTGGACATTCCGGTTTTTATACTACTTTTGGCATGCGAAGTGTTTACCGACGAATGAGAAGTTTTGGCTTGTTTTCATACCGGCCACACTGGGTCCTCCCTTTAACTCGAGAACACCGACTTAATCGCCTTGAGTGGTGCAGACAACGGTCACTCTGGGATCAGGAATGGAACAGTATTGTCTTTAGTGACGAGTCTCGATTTTGTTTAGGCATGCACGATGGTCGTGCCAGGGTTAGAAGGCGACGTGGTGAAAGGAGGAATCCACAGTTTTTTGTTGAAAGACATGTTCATCACACTGTTGGAGTTATGGTTTGGGGTGCTATGGCTTATGGTTCCAGGTCACCTTTAATCTTCATCAGAGGTAACATTAACGCGCAGCGTTATATCCACGAAGTTCTAGAACCCCATCTTTTACCCTATCATGACACCCTGGCAGATCCAACTTTCCAACAAGATAATGCTCGACCACATGTTGCAAGAGTCACAATAGACTTCTTTCAACATAATGATGTCACATTGTTACCATGGCCACCAAGATCTCCCGACTTATCCCCAATTGAGCACGTGTGGGATATGATGGGTAGGAGATTGCTCAATTTGCTACGTCCTCCTCAGACTCTAGAAGCACTTCGAGAGGAGTTGGTGGTTGCCTGGAATGAGATACCACAGGAGGACATTGACCACCTGATCAGAAGCATGCCTAGGCGCGTTGGAGCATGCGTAGCACATCAGGGTGCATCCACACATTATTAAAAGTCAAAGAGCTTTAAAGCAGTGCAATCATTTTGAAATTTTTATCATTTACTTATTATGCTTCACTAAGTACTTATACAAAATTTTATTAAAATAAAACCATTTAAACTCGGTGTTCGGATTTATATGTCACTTTTATTTTACAATAGACTAAATGACTCAAACGTTAGCGATGACGAGTACCAACGTGCTAAAGATGTGTGGTATTATACCTTACCAGGTTATACATTTGATTGTATGCTACGGTATACCGGTTGTAAGATTGACATTTAAAAAAATGTTGATATGCTATTATTTGTAGAACGTGGTATACGCTGAGGAATATCTCAATGTTGTAATAGGTATTCGAAGGCTAATAACAAATATTTACCGGATTATGATAGCTCTGTACCATCAACGTTTATCATTTATTTGGATGTTAATGCATTATACGCATTTGCTACGACTCAGTATCTTCCTTATGCAGGGTTTGCTTGGTTGGAAAATTTTGATACGTTGAATGTACATGATATTGCAGATGATGCAGATATTGGTTATATACTCGAAGTAGACCTTGAGTATTCAAAGTATTTGCATTATGAACATACAGATTTTCCGCTATGTCCAGAGCATCGGGTACCACCAGGTTCAAAACTAACAAAATTAATGACAACTCTCTACGATAAAACAAATTACATAATTCATTATAGAAATTTAAAACAACACATGGCTTAGTTTTGAAAAAAGTACATCGCATTTTGCAATTTAAGCAAGCTGCTTGGATGAAACCTTACGTAGAGATGAATACGTATGCTAGCTACAAATGATTTTGATAAATCCTTATATAATGACCTTGTCAATTCCTGATTTGGCACATGTATGGAAAATGTCCGAAAGCATCGACTAGTCTGTATCACTAACAAATGGGAAGGTCGGTATGGTGCAAGGAAACTAATAGCCAGCCCTAATTTTCATAGCAGAGTAGTCTTTGTCGATAATCTCTAGCGATTGAAATGAAAAAAATCGAACTTCTCTTTAACAAGCCCCTGTATATTGGAATGGCGATTTTGGACATTTCCAAACTATGCTTATATGACTTTCACTATAATTACATGCTGAAAAATTCCAATCAAATACGTGTAAGACGTTGTATATGGGCACAGATTCGATGACGTATGAGGTAAAATGTGCAGATTTTTATATAGACGTAATCAAACAAGATTGTTTTCAGTATTTTGATACCAGCGATTATCCAACAGATAATGTGTATAACATACCGTTGGTTAATAAAAAGGTCCCGGGAATTATGAAGGATGAATATCAAGGTATTGCGTTAACCGAATTCGTTGGTCTCAGGTCAAAGGTGTACTCTATAAAACGATTAACAACGCATAAGGAAATAGAAGATATGCGGTTGCGTCTGCTTGATAGTGGTTGTACTGGAGATACTGCTGAAATTATTATGTCAAATATGGGTGTTACTAAGAAAATCAAAGGAATCAAAAAATCTGTAGTTGAAACGAAAATAACGTTTGATTGTTTCTTGAACTGTTTGAAAAATTTAGAAGTGCAGTCATTTAATCAGAATTTAATCAGATCTGAGAATCATAATATTTTTTCATTTACGCAGTTGAAATAAGCTCTCAGCCCATACGATGATAAACGTTATTTAATCAAAAACAATCATGATAATTTACCTTGGGGACACTATAGCATAGTATCAATCGAAGATATGTAACATGTACAATTTTATTTTAGATATGATAAGCCTTAGAGAATTATCACTTAAAAAAGTTGCAGAATCTGTAAATTCAATTGTTACTTTTACTAATGTGTCACTATTACGATAGACACTTACTGTGGAAGTCATCAAATATTATGCAAATTTTAAATGGTCAAACATATTGCTTGAGGCACACGATAATCCTTTATCAGATATTATAATTATACAATCAGTGGAGCATACAAGGGAAATACCTAGTGAAATTCATAGGAAGGCACTTTTATATCAAGCAAATTTTGAAGACATATATATTTTTCCAAAGTATTGTGTTTGGGTTGACATTTGTTACATTCCAGAATATAATTTAAGATTGTCTCGTGGTTGCTGTAATGCATTTATGGTAGTATTAGGTTTCAGGAATCAAAAAAGAGCCATTGTTCTTCGTGACCATTATCATATGGCATTACAGGTTCTATAAATTCATAGCTTATACAGATCTAAATATATGTACTGCCAAAATAACTTTTTGGAACTATTGTTTGGTTTGAAAGACGATTATACTTGTGTAAATGACCTACATAACATCGATCATGATAATAATCTCCCATATTTTACGAGATTCGTAGATTCTGGTAACGATGATTCCGACATTGACTTTTAAGAATGTATGTAAATGTGCTTGCATATACTCAATGAGATCTGTTTGCCATAAATCATCTAAACCCCGTATTATGATTCATGGTGTTTTGAAATTCTTTCGAACAGGCGCGTGCAGTTCGTTCGCAAGCTGAATTTTTTCTGTAGAATGAGTAGCTTTCATGGTGACTATTAGTTAATTAGTTTAATTATTTGGTACAAATGAGACCTTATACTACGCTATTTGATTGTTGAGTATATCTTTTTTTCTAGTATGTCGTATTTAGTTTTCAATTTAGTAAGTTTCGCTTGAATTTCTGCAATTTGTGTAGAAAGTTCAGTAAACTTCTTATCTATGTATGCTGATGTGTCTACGTGATAGTTCAACAGTGTCTGTAGATTTGATTCTGTATCTGACACTTTTTTATTTAAATTGACTGAGGTTTCGAAACATTCTTTTGATAACCTTTCAGCTTTATTAATTCTTGTGAAATGACTTCACTTAGCTCTAAGCGAAGTTTATTTAAAGTAATTACTTGATTATCAATATATTTTTTATTAGTTGCATCTCCAGCATCAGTGGGGTCTTTAACGTTACATAATTTCAAGTTTTCAACATCTATATTACCATCACTAGTCAAAGGAAAACCATGCCGCGTAGATTGAAAAGACTGTTGTAGAGGGTGCCTTTCTGGTGCAGCTACACGTCCAAACTTATCAACGGTCATATCGGTTATGTACAAGATTCATATACGACATATTTATTTACTTCTTATTTAACTATAACTCCTGCTTCCTGAAGTTCTTCAATGATAGACAGTATTTCATTGTTTACTGAATTATTCCCAGCGTTTTGCGCAGCTACAAGTAATCACAACTTATCAACTAACTCATTCAAATTATCCCAGTAGACGTACTCTATTTTTCTATTATTATAAATCATATTTCTTGGTAAACCAAGAAACACTTATGTTATCATGTGATCGTTGTTTATAGAACATAGGTCTGATAATTTCTTTGTATTTGTACATGTTGGATCCTTTAAGACGTCCTGATGCAGCTTTATGTACTTCGCTTAATGACAGCACATGTTTATACATAGCACGGTCTTCATTGTTATATGATGGATCCTTATGGAAAATTAGTTGATATAAACCTGGTGTACCCGGAAATTGATTACCATCAATTATCATGTGACCAGTGCGTTGATTGAAATCAATGCGTTTCTTACCTAATAACCAAGATGAGTTCGAAGCATGATACACAGGACCATCATTTTTATCAATCTTTTGATCATCTAACCAATGTTCAGTTACATATTTTTTGGCTATCTCTGGATACTGATCAATGTATTCATTAATTACTTCATCTCTTATACCTTGTATCTGTGAATTGTCAATGGAATCATTAGACTGATTCACAAATACATCATCATAATCATTAACATCTTCATTTTCAGAACCTTTGATATAGGTAATTGCAATATCTTCTTCTGGTATAAATGGTGGTGGAGACATATGTTCTTTGTCTAATTTTTTAGGTTGCTTTTCAATTATTATATTATCAGCACCTGTTAAGTCATGTTCGTTGGTTAAAAGTCTCAGCGGTTCAACAATCGGTTTTAATACACGTTCCAATACTGTATCTTCTTCACTTCTACCCAGTTTCAATGCTAAATACTTATTTCTTATTGCCCGTGCAAGTTGTATAATTTTTCTTTTACGTAGCTCTCTTTGATCTGTTTAGGAGGCATGTTTAGAAATGGTTGATTTCTGGTAGCATTACAAACTTATATACATATCAAATCCTTTACGATACCGCCCTTCATTAATATCAAAATCTTTCACAATTACCATACTACCATATTGATCTTTCCAACACTCTGCACACAGACTTTCAAATTTATCAAAGTCCTGTTTGAACAAAATGACCATGTTACAGTTATCTCTTATCAACTGCTTGGGAATCTTCGAGTATGTTTGACATAAGTAAAAACAATCAATATTTCTATGTCGTCCCATGGAAAAATATTCCCTGATCTTATCCTGTTTCGAAGTTGCAACGTCATCAAATACAAAAATTGAATGTTCATTAGCGCACGACGGATCAACTATTTCTGTTTCATTGTCACTAAACGGAAAATATTGTATCCCTTTAACTTTCTCAAGAACACTTCTAAGTAGCTGATATTTTGGCTGATATAAGGATTTGGGGTAAATGTATTTTGAATTTCAAACCGTTTGGATGAAATAAAAGTGATAATACAGCATTGGTCTTTCCAGAACCACTTCTCTCGCAAACTGCACAACGAATATTATTAGGTAGCAACTTACTGTGCTTGAATTTTAAGGGTACAGGTGGAACTATGCAATCTAAATAATCTAAATTTTGTGTGGGTAATAAGATTTGTTGTTTAACGAGACGCATCTTGTTAATGATTGAATGGTTGTAGGCAGATATATATATATAGCAGAGGTCACTAAAAATTAACCTTATTAATTGGTTTGGTCTCGCACCATCAACACCTATAAAACGCTATTGAGCAGTCTCAACAAATTGTTATCTAACCAACAGTGAAAACAATGAAAATTAAACGTAACGTAGGTATGGATTCGAGCACAATTAAGAAAAATGGAATTCTACCGTGATATATTGAAGAAAATAAAGCTACCTCATAGTGACAATGAAGCAGATTTAAACAAATCTGCACTGACTGCGTTACACGCAGCCCGTGTAGCTATTAAACGTGCCGGTGGACGGCGAAAAGCAAATATTCCTAGAATTATACCGATACCAAACATAGGTGGCATTTTACCGATTCTACCTATACTGGGAGCATTAGGGGCATTGGGTTCACTTCCAGGTGGAGCTGCTGCGGTTGCAAAAACTGCTATCGACGTTAAAAACGCCAAAAAACAATTGGCAGAAGCAGAGCGACATAACAGAACAATCGAAGCTATTGCACTAGGTAAAAGAGGATCTGGCTTGTATCTACATAAAAATGAGCATGGTGGTATGGGTTTATTCCTGGAAAAACAATCCTCTGGAAGTGGTTTATACGTCAAAAAACAGAAATCAAAACACTACCAGTAAAGCTACCCAATAGAGCGCTCCCCGATCATGATATTTTGAGATACGCGAAACTGCTCAAAATAAAACATTTTCAAAATGTATATATGAGAAATACCCTACCGAACACGAAGCCTAAAAAATAACGAGTGTGCAATTATCAATTTAGATCTTAGTGCTAACGTTGGTACTCATTGGGTAGCATACAGGAAGATAGGTAAAGTAGTTAATTATTTTGATAGTTTTGGAAATTTAAAACCTCCTCTTGAGCTAATTCGATACCTTGGTAATGGTGTGAAAATACTTTATAATCACCAACCTTATCAAACATTGGACCAGTTCAATTGCGGACATTTGTGTTTAGAATTTTTATATAAAACGCAATGATTCAACAACCTTAGTATCATTATGTCTCAGTTAATCACCTTGAGAAGCCGTTCTTCAGTACTATCCATTGATTTTATTAATCCAATTGAACTTGAACCTCATTCACTTTACGGAATTGCTTTGTTTGGCTTCCATTCATACAACACAATCCCAAACATAGAAGAAGGTGCCAATAAACTTTATTTCCATAACAAGAAAGACAACAAAGTGGAAACAATAACGATTCCAACAGGTGTATACGAAATAGGCGACATCGAAAAGTATCTCAATACTCATACAGAAACACAGGAAAAAATACCACCGTTTTCACTTAAACCGAACAATAATACTCTCAAGTGCGAATTGTTTAGTGATCAATACGAAATAGATTTCAAGCACGAAGATAGTATCAGAAAAATCCTTGGAATTTCAAAAAAATTATTAGATACCGGTATTCTTCATTCGTCCGATCTAACAGTAAAAATAGTTAAAGTGATTACTGTACACATTGACTGTAATATTACAACAGGTTCATTCTATAACAGCAAACCGTCACACGCAATTTTTGAATTTTCCATTGACGTAGATGCTGGTTATGCTATAGACATTCAACCCCGTAACTTGATATATTTACCTGTATCCGTAACACATACTATCAATAACATAAGTTTACGTATATTAGACCAAAACGGAGAGCTTGTTAACTCTAGAGGGGAAGAGATAATTGTTAGACTGGAACTTAAAAAATTAACTTAAAATGGAATTATCTATTACCTCCAATATTAACACATATAAAAAGAACAAGTTTGCAACTTATGATTCAGTCTTTCGTAATCATCTTATGAAGACAAGACATTCTTCAACTAAAGCTCTAACACCTACAAACGTTTTGTTTTTAAAATCTTTGGGATACAATGTTCCCAGTCCATCATATATTCGAAAATCCATCGTTCGATAACTCTGTAATAAAAGAGGAATGTCGTACATATTATCCATTTATAAAATCATTTGATAATAATGATGAAATTGAAATCACTATTAATCAACAAGATGCCTGGTTAGCGATGTATGAAGCTGCTATCTGTATAGATGGTAAGGTGTTACTAAAAAGTAATTCTACTACCACTTCAGCTAAAGCAGAATTAGTCAATAACGCCTGCGCTTTTATGTTCGATTCAATTCCATACGAATTGAATGGAAAAGAACTAGATCGTGTACGTGATCCTGGTACTGTGAGCATGATAAGAGGTTATTTATGTTACCATCCTAACGATAGTAACCATATGGCTATAGCAGGATGGAATTTTCCATCCAATGCAATTTTGAATGCGGATATGACGTTTTCATTTCGCATACCTTTATGGCATCTTCTCGGTTTTTTCTTGATTATAGAAAACCAATGTTTGGAAGGCAAACTGAACGTTTGGTTCGTTCCAGACACGATCATAATTGTCTAAAGGTCATTGGTGACGCAACGGCTACCATTCAAATAAATTCTATTGAACTTAAAGTTAAACACGTATTTCTAAATGATGCACTTAAATTGGATGTACTTAAAAAGATAAAGAATGATACTTCTATACTTATCGGTTATAGAAAGTGGTCAATACATGAATTACCGTTCTTACCTCATAATGTCACGAAAACTATATGGTTAGTAAGGACAAGTTCGGCAATAGAAGTTCCAAGATTTGTTATTGTTGCCTTTCAAACAGCCAGAAAAGATGTTACAAAAGCGGATAAGCACATATTAGATAACGCAAATCTTACAAACATAAAGTTAATGATTAATTCGGACTATTATCCTCATGAAGATATGAAGTTAGATTTTAAAAATAATAAATATATGGAAGTTCATCATATGTATTCGCAATTTGCCAAAACGTATTCAAATGATAACGATAAACACGGATTACATTCAAAACTCATGCTATATTTGTTATTGATTGTTCCAAGCGAAGCGAAGATTTAAAGTCGTCCACCGTTGATGTAAAACTAGAATTTGAATCCGCTGAAGGTTTTCCCACTGATACTAGAACTTACTGTATTATAATTCATGATTCTGTGATAGAGTATTTACCGCTAAGCTAAATGTAACGTACTAGCAGTCGAAGCTCTCAGTAAGTCGTGGTGCGTAGTACTAGAATCATCTTAATCGGTTACGTGATGAAAATAGCAGCAGTAGATGTTCAAGGTTTTCAACTTTCAAACGGGTTTTTAGCGAAGGAAGTCGCGATTCCGATTAGTAACCAGATAACTCATTATATTTTCAGACCATTGACACCGTTTTGTTTTTCAAGTACAAACGATAAAGTGCAAGTGCGATGGTTGGAAAAAAATTATCATGGCTTGAAATATTCCTCTGGATTCTTCGAACAGCACTAATTGAAGGATATTATCAAGTAATTTTGTTATCTTCCCTTCCCGATGAGGAATTCCAACCAGAAATCATAAACTTAGAAGATGTACTCCAGACCAGTCTAGATGTGTTGAACTTCAATAAAAATAAACCACGATGCCTACATCACAGTTTGAGACTATGTATGTGTGCTTTAAGGAACTGTGCTGAACTTCAAGAGTGGCTTCTTGCGTTAATGAGAAGATAGTTGTCAGTCATCCTTGCAACAAGATGAATCACACTACAGCAGCTGCTGCAATAGATGCCTATCTAAGAAAATTACATAACCTCAAAAATGTATTGAGGAATATGAACAAAAACAAAAAATGATTGTTAGCTTTAGAAATATTCATATTTGTAACAATGTACCAAATTAAGGACCCAAATTGTGTGAATATTGATTATATTTACAAAATAAAAGTCTTACAGTAATTATATTGTTTTATTTAATCGTTAATGTTATCGGACTTACAAAATGAACTAATAAATATGAAGCTAAAAGTAAAATCACATGGTGCATTATATCAAATTTCTTGTCCGTCTTCTTTCCCATTCTATTCAATAGCTTCTGCATTCATTTAGCATAGCCACAATTTTTTGAGAATTTTAGATGATCCTTAATAGGACAATCGTCATCCTTCCATTTTTATATTATTATCCCACAACAAAACGCTTGGCAAATATCTTCATTTCCAACATAAAAAAAACCCTGCTGCTGCTAGCACTGCAGGATTAATGACTACAGTCCATCCTTTTTCAAATGTACTGATACGTTTATCATACGAATTGTATTCACTAAAATCTATAGAATATTCTTCAGCACACATATTCAAACAGCGCAGCGGTGCGATCAGTATTATTCTGTATTGCATAGGTGTATATTATTATTTATATATGACACATATATCATAAAACACTCATACTTCGAAAGTCAGATGACATACGTCAACAAATTCCTAGTAGTTCACTTTCCTTAGATAGTTATGTTCAGTCGTAGCCACGCTGTGTTAGTTACTATGGAAGAAAATTCTGTACAAAATCTGGAATTGACACATAATTATGCACATTCAGCAAGTTCTATTATCATGGTTACATAAAAATATACATTAGCTAATCCACACATTTTTTTGTAGGCTGATAGTTTTGATATGGATGAATCTTAATCGGAAATGATATTTTTAATAATTCAACCACCATTGATGTATCCTCCTGCAAATCGTAATGCTGGGGAGGATATACAACAGGTATAGGTAAACAATTAAGCAGTCCTACAGATGATATGGTTATTGTGAGTCACAGAAAACATGTGAACAATGATGAACTGCGCATAATTGGAGGTTATCTACGAAAAGTCAACAGGCTATGCGAAAAGTAATTCACCGAAATTTCAAGAAAATTAAATAAGGAACGTAAAAGACTTCAGACACTGAAACAAAAAGAACGTACTCAGTTACAAAAAATTAAGAGACAGGAGAAATGTCAGAAATTTGCATCCAAAATGACTAAGCGTCTGAAAATATCTTCATATGACTAAGTACTATATATATATATATATATCTGCATATAATGTAATCTTTGGAATAATCAACCACTGAACAGTGAACATTTACCTTAATACAATAATGACGTCACACACTAATAATCAAAGAGTAATAAAAGTTCTCGACTTCACTGTTCCAGTTCAAGAAGATATAAGAAATCTATCAGCACGACAAGGTCGTGCTACAAGAATACCCAGCGTTCTATTACGATGGAACGCCAGGTGGCTTGCCATTTGGTACAGAGATTAAAAACGAAGACAACCGAACTCTAGGGTATGTGATCGGACATCACTTACATTATTATCCTATAATGATGATGAAAGATAACTTATTACATTGCGGTAAATATGGACTGCACAAGCTAGTCGGTCATGGAGGAAAACTAGAGTACCGAGATCAAGAGTATACAGTGGAAGAATTTAAGAAAAAGTTTCCCAGAATAGCAAAACAAGATGTACAATGTTTTGTTTATGCATGGCGTACCTCAAAATAAAGATAAATAAACTCCTTACAGCGTATTGCTTATTCTTACCCCTATCCCAAAGTACACAACGCAAACTTACCCGCGCATCACCTACCCCAACACCTACCACGAATGCCACAAACGCTATCTACACCCCCCGTAGTACGCCCGCGCCAGCACCACCAGAACGAGCCCCATGCGCATGCGCGCACGCGCGTGAGGGTAAGGGGGATGGCCACGGAGGAGCGTTGGGAATTTTTTTTTGTTACTTTGGTCTAGAGTATCTGGTCTAGAATTACTTTTGGTCTAGAGAGACTGGTCTAGAGCGTACTTTGGTCCAGAACGTGTAGTGGTCCAGAAATCCTATAAGTTTTACGGTACAATTTTACATGCTATTTTACGTGGTCTAGTAATCCTATAGCTGTACTACTAATATCTGTTTTTAAATATACAGGGTGACTTCGAAGTTGTGTCATTTATTTTATTATTGAGTAGATCTGATCAAAAGAAATGTTTTTTTCCTTTACAATTTTTCTTGTAAAATTAAAGTAACAAAGTATATATATATAGCCCTTTGGAAGTTTGAGTACCGCCCTGTCTCAATAATAATATTATGTGCTCGTGTTTGGCGACAACGGATATCGGGATAACGGGTTCATCGCATCGGAAACAAAAAAGCGAAAGAATTTGGAACGATGTTTTTACAATTATTTCATACAGTTGTATACAGTCAGTGTCAGTCGGTAGTGGATAGTGGTGTCTGTTGCGTGGCTCAAACGAAATAAAAAATGGCACATGTTTATGCGGATCGGTTTCCCAATCGAGTGCAACCAACCCCTCGTGCCTTTGTTAATGTAGTACAACGGGTTCGTGAATCATTTGACTTAAGACCTCACATATGGACGGCATGCCGGTGCTCCAAGACCTCACGATCAAATACAGGTCCGCACTGAAATACTTGTCGGGAGGCTACTTTATAAAACAAGGTAAATTTTTTTTTAATTTTTATTTTTATTTTTACACACATATTTTGGTTTATCTTCCTTCTACAATCATTATCTGAAAATTAATGACTCAACTTCAAAGTCACCCTGTATATCAGAATATTCCCCTAATGTTTTAATGTTAAACTGTTGCCAAACAGATTGCGCATGAGCATACTTCTCGCCAGTTATACTTTTATCGTTTAATTTATTGTAAATTCTTTCAATTGGGGGCAAAGTCGTTTCATTTAGTTTTTCCAAAGAATCAATGTAATCGTAACAGAAAACTCCTTTATGTGTTAATAATTTGAATTTATCTTTATCTAAATTTTGAAATTCCCTCCGTAAAATTTTCTTTTCTGATTCTGCTAAAATTGAAGCTAATTCATCCAGAGAAGCCTTCATAAATCGAAAAGAGTCTATAAACCGCAATATAATGTTATTTTCATCTGAATGCAGCGTAAAGGAAATGTATTTATCTTTGTTGATGGGAAGTAAGTTTAAGCGACCTTTTTTACATAAATTTGAAATCATAAAGTGACTATCGTACCCACTTAAATTATGGAATATAACCGGCACAACGAAAAATTTTCTAAAGTTCAGATTGCACGCTTCGTGTGCGTAACCTCTGAACTTTCCACTGAAACTTACATGTGTCGAATTTTTCAATCATAGGTACCATTGTTTTAATTTTTGAGTTTACAAATTGCGCAACATCAGCCATACGATTCGCAAACCAGTCCATACAATCTGCACCTCGATAACTCTCGAAGTAAGAATGGCTATCATCATAGTTACATTTTACATAGAAACCAGTACTATACGGAACATGTTTTTGATATTTTACGGTTTTAGTTAAATTTACGACGCTACTTTCTTTATAATTTTCTAATTGACATTCAAAATCTGCATAAACAACAAAAGGAGTATTTTGTTGGTTCGTAAAGTTTTTAAATTCAACGTAGCTATCTTTAGGAAGGATAATTTTATTTTTGTTAAATTTAAAACACAGTTTTTCGTGTTCAACTAATTTGTTTTGCTGCTAAAAATAGTTCATACACCTATCGCAAATAATTTTTTATTATGATTCTTATTTAACTGACTACTAACAAGACGCGAAAGATTTTTAATCCAACAATAGTGACATTTAATCTCATCGATGGAATCATTATCTTCATCCGCTAGTGGTGTTGGGGGGGGGGGGGGCATCATAATCATTTAAATGCGGATAATACTTATTTTGAACTAAAAGTAAATTAACATGCGTGTCCCGTTTATTTTCCGTTAATCTTGCCGGTACTATTGTGTAAAATGATGTTTTTTCTGTTTCAATTAATTCTAAAGCGTAAACATTGACTGAACTATTATTCAGCTTTTCAAATTTTGAAATTTTTGTTAGCGGCATAGGACTATCTAATTTTCTGTTTGTAAAACGTCAGTAAAGTATGGATATGAGGAGGTTAGTTCTGCATGTCGTTTATTGCTAGGAGCCTGAAAAGCGCTTACAGTGGCCCAGTAAAAGCAATTTTGATCTCTATTTTTAATGTTTATACAAGCTTGATTTTTTAAAATCGGTTCTGGTAGTCTAATATAAGATGAAGCGTTTCCAAATTGATATTTATTTATATTAAAAGACAAAGAAATAATTTTATTTAACGCAAATCCCGAATCTTTTTCGGCAAATTCCGATAATTCATTTAAAAGTTTATCTTTTACATATATCTTAAACCACTCGTCTATTTGAGTTGACGCACCAATAATATGATTTTTAGTATTAAAATATTTAATTCCCAAAATTTCATTATCCTCCGACGAAGATTTCCTAATAAACTCTCCGCAAAATGTTGTATTTTCCTACAACTACACAATCTGCTAAAAATTGATTCAAGCCCTTATGACGTAGATTAGCTATAGAACCGGTTGTTATTCTGCTTTGAAAGCTTGATTTTACATTTGCCCATCTAACCCTCTGACCCAATGTTAAGTGAAGTCCTGCCCCAATATGTCTAGTTAAAATCAACTTTCTAAAATGTTTAAAATGTCCCAAATTTGTTTCTATATTTCTAGTCCCTACAGATAATCTATTTTGTTTCCTACTACGAATTACCCTTCTACATAATCTAATTTGTTTTTCTATCCGTTTTAGCCACACTTCCGTGTCACTTATTGTAAAATTATCACATAAAATTTTTCGTAAACTAATAATTGATGATGTTTGTTTGATGATATTTTTAACCTTATTTGAAGACATGCGAAAATACATTTTATTTTTCAAAAAAAAGAACACTTCAAGCAAACAAATTACGCAAAAATACATAAAAAATTGCTTACCCTGTCCGTTAATTTTTTACTATTCTGAATGACGCTAGTGGTCGGCTTTTTCCTATATCCACTTCACCTTGGAAAATTAGAGAGTATTTTCCGTTACACAGTTCATTAATGGCCGGCTGGTATACTTACAGTCACTCGCTGAGGTAGAAATAGGACGTCAGGACCTAAATCCACTAATACTGCTTCTCCAAATTTTGAATTTACCACTTTTGCTGAGTGTATTGAAAACGGTGTTCCAACTGGTAGGTCCTTTAATTTTCGTACTGCTTTACGAGCTGCAATCGCAGATGCCGCATTAATTTTTGTCAAATCCATCTATAACAAAATTGAGTTGACTTTTACTACTTTGAAGCATAAAACGAAATAAACGTACTTACACGAACACTTTTAAAAAAAGCATAGTTGCGCTTAGAGACATAAATAAGAAAAATATTCAATAAAATAGCGCACTTGATTTTACTTCGCTCCCCTCTCTTCTAGCACTGCTGTACTGTGGTTGTTGTTGTAGCGTTGAATGTGAAAGAATGGTATCTACTGCATGCGCTCGTTCAATATAAATACCATGACCGATATGACGCGAGTGCATGAGATAATTATAACATAAGAATACATCATATTATCAGTACCACTATTGTCGAGAAAAACAAACACTTTAAACGTTCGTTGCGGTTGCGGTTGAGGTATTTTGCATATAATTTCTTAGTAATACATGAATACATCGTTTGTCCGGAAATTCCAGGGATATCTTTTGGATTATGCTTCGTTTAAAAATCGTAAATACATTTATGACTAATATGATGCTTAACAGTATAATCGATATGTTGAGCGGAGTGCTGTCACTATTTGTAATCTTCCTTCAGATTCCGGTTGTGTAGCGCCATCTAGCGGTGAGATCCTCAACTCATCAATGACATTTACAGATTCCGTTTCTGTGGCGCCATCTAGCGGTGAGATCCTCAACTTATCAATGACACATGACGTTTGACAGATGACTGGTGTGGCGCCATCTTGCGGCAAGAAGCACAACTCATCAATGACACATGATGTTTGACAGATGACAGGTGTGGCACCATCTACTATTGAGAAGCACAAGACATCAATGACACATGACGTTTGACAGATGACAGGTGTGGTGCCATCTTGCTATGAGGTCAATGATACATGATGTTTTACAGATTCCGTTTGGTTTGTGCACCACCATCCAGCGGTGAGAAGCACAACTCATCAATGACACTTACAGATTTTGTTTGGTTTGTGCAGCGCGGTAGATTTAAAAATTGTGAGACCGAATTCTTGTAGTATATCTCCTCCGACGCATGCGCGTCAGTGAAACAGACATATCTCCAAGGAAAGATAGAGAAGAAGTCTCTGAGCCCCTCCAAGTCGGCATGTCCGTAATGCCAAGCTTTGCGGCTTGTACGAGTTTCTGCTGCCACAGCGGGTTCCGACCGAAACCTAACCTCCACAACACCGTGGTCCGAGTTACCCAGGGATGGCAGGATAGCAGTGCTGTAAGAGACAGGATGCGTGGTCAGAAAGAGATCCAGCAGGCTACTGGCGTGTGACGAGACGCGGGGGAAGAAGTAGGGCTCGTCACCAGCTGGGTCAGCCCTTGAGTAAGAGCGAACGCTTCGACGGCACGACCTGCTGCATCGGTCTTGTTTGAGCCTAACCAAAGCTTATTATGGGCATTGAAATCACCGAAAAAAACTACCTTTGAAGCGGGGTGATTGATGTTCAGTCGATCTTGACGGCCAGGTATTAAGTAGGTCATCCCAGTTATGGTCCGAGGGAGAGCGATAAAGGCAGCAAATAAATTTGGGTGATGTTTTGGAGCTGAGGTGAAGCCACAGAATGTCCTTCCGGTTTGATTTCAAAGAAACATCTCTGCAGCAGGGAGGACTGCTGCGGACAAAAGCTACAGCGCCCCCATTCTTTCTCAGATTGGAGTGCACCTCGTAGTTTGGGTAGTTAAGATGGTTAATCGGTGCAGACTCTGAGATTATTGTCTCCGCCAACAAAAGCATGGCGGGACGATTGGATTGCAGGTAGTGATGAACAGCATTAATGTTGCTGTTAATCCTGCAGATGTTCGTAAAACAAATTTTATCTTCGATGTTGTTCCCTCAAGCCCACCCTCCACCCGGACATTCCAACACACTGATGACGACGTTTTAGCGACAAAGGTGTCATTTTTCAAGTGCAATTTGATAATCCTGAAAACATGTTCTGTCCTCCAGGCGAGACTTTGTTGGTCGATAGTCTTAACATGCTCAGATTGCGCGAAGCCAACATTGGAATTTCAGGATAGTACCGCGCAAAACCAGTAAAACAGGACTGCTTTAGGTAGGCATTAATGTTCCCAAAGGACGACCAGCCCTCAAAAGCGACGGGTGAGTGTGAGGTTCTCTGTCATTCTTTAATGTACCAGACACGTCAAACTCATCCGTCGTCCCAAAAATGCCAAAAGTCGTTCGAAAACCCGAAAACCCACCCAAAATTGTTGTCGTAACACACCGGATAATTATTATGGAATCTTCGCCTACAAATGCTACATGTGCATTAGATATGGGTATGAAATACGAGAAATAACAGATAACCTCATGCTGGGAGGGCTGGACGTCTTTTTGGAGCGAAAATGTTTACCCGGCACGGGTATAACGTAACTTTAAAAGTGACATTATACCCATTTTTTTTGACATTACCTATATTCAAGTTTTTCGCCAAGACTTTGACTTAGTACTAGCGATTCACACTAGTCGTGAACTCGTTTGAGTTGTACGTGTTGCCTAAACGTCATGATCTGTGAGTTTGGCTGTGATGTGATGTATCTAGTGCTTCCGAGATGGCATTATGTTCTAGATCTAAGCTGCAACTTTTATACTATAGACTACATTTGGAAGGAAAAGGCAGTGCATAGGTACATAGTGAGGATGTGCGTGCTAATAATATGTGTTAATGGTAATTCCATTGGTTTCTTGTCTCAAATAGACTCACTTGAGATGTATTCAAAAGTTGAAATTACTTGCGCTTCCACTTTTTATTATTCAACCTGGAAATTATATTATGCAAGTTTGCTGAATTTCAAAAACTGTGAGAGATAAGAACAGAAAATCGCGGGTTGGTGAAGTAACAGGTGAGAAGATACTCTACAGATAGGAATATTTATGAAAGTGAAAAGGTTATTAAATTATTTTTTTATTTCCAGTCGTTTCAGTTTTATAAAAACTTATTTTGCGATGTCAATAGGAAATACAAATCAGCGCTTGGATGCGAGGCACTGCGAAAATGTTTGATCTGTGATGACTCATTCCTATCTTTTATTTAATGTGGTTCTGAAGGTAAGTGAATATACTTATTTTTTAAAATACATGTAATAATTGTGTCATAATTTAAGGCCATTGTCCTCTTACAGGACAATGTTAAAAGGAAATAAATTTAAATTTTTTTACTTAACTGACTGGCACCTGTCATAACGTGTCATCTGTCACTAATATCAGGATCTTGAAGCCTGTCTTACAATGTGACGCTACTAATGAATCAAATATCTTTGGTATCTATCGTCGTACAGGGTTATTCACCTACACAAGTTGTAGAAGAGGATTTAGTGTATTTTAACACAATAGTGAACCTATAGTACCCAGGATGTAATTCCTCACAGAATAAAACGAAACAATTTCAAAAGTTATTGGTTCATTATTTGTTCCATACTTGCAGACTCCTTCATGTTGGTATATCACAAAATTATCAAAATGAGTAATTTTGGAAGCATAGGGTTTATGGGTAATACCTACACTTAAATTAAGTCATTTCTAACAGAACCGTCTGAATGTGTAAATTCATTTTTGTCGAAATATTTTCCCCACTATAATTGTTGATCACATTAATATTATTTTTCTTGGAATTAAAAGTGTATTAGTATTTTTAATATATAGCTTTTGACGTAGGTAGATATTTACATTATGAAAAATCATGTTTCAGCACTATGTTATTGAGATGTTACTTGAAATAACATATCGAGTGTAAACTATAATCACAAAGTATTTTATAAACTAATTTCATGCCGACGTTGAAAGAATCTGTTTCACTTTTAATTTTTCTGCTCTTTTTTTGTTGAACGTGCATTATTTGATTGTAAAACAAAGAGCGTCCAAAGATGGTTTTCTTGAGAATAAAAGTTACTTTCATTTTTACTTGGAGCATTATAGTATATGTTCTGGTTGTAGGGTTGAAAATGAAGGACAAAGAAAATGGTGATTTGAGTAATTATGGTCTTCATAAAAGAAGATGTAGTAGAATGTTGGTAGAGGAATGAAAACTTTGAAGTTAATAGATGATTGGGATGATCCTGATGAATACTGGGAAATATATAAAGTATGTTCATTGGGTGGCAATGGTTAGCAATCATATCTTCAGTAGTATTTAGGATTGTAACAATTTGGAAAGTTGGAGTTTGGATATTTGCTGTAGCTGCACTATTCTTTTTCAGGGGATTTTAATATTGCCAAAACAAAAGCGGATAAAACCAAAACTACCAAATATTTTATCTGCAAATGGCAATATTATATCTCAAAACAAAAGGATTAGAAAGAACCAAAAATATGATATCAGAGCCTCAGAGACTTCGGACTCTGATGTAGAAAGCACAGTTTTCTCTGCATTTCAGGTAAACATTTTTTAAGATATTGAAAGAATTGTATAAAGGTGCTTCAAATGAATTCCCTCAGATGAATAAAATATTCATTTTTTAAAGTGATCTTCATACTATCTATATAGATTCATTGTGATTGCTGATTATATTACATGTAAATTGTCAGTATCTGTGAGCTATGAAATATGAACTCGATATCAAACATCAAGTCCCAATAGTACCAGGGTTGTGGTGTTTTACCTGCTGTAGTACTAATACAGTCATTAGAAACACTGTACAACCCTAGCACATTCAAAAGAGGTATATAGTCAATCACATTTGCTGTACACAATTAATGCTACCTAAATCAGGTAATCATAGCACTAAATTTGAGGCCAATAGAATGCTAGGATTTTATTAGCTACTTTAAGGAATCTGGGCAGCCATATCTCAAATATACTCACTTAGGCAGTCTAATAATGTCTTTGACATAAAGATGATTCATTCTTTTTGTGGAACTTTGTACCAATTTGTATCATTCAATTGTACAATCTGCAAAATAACAAAGCTTGCTAGGGGACGAAATATTGAGGTTGCTATCACAATCCACCATAGATTAACAGCCATAGAGAAAAAAAACATTCAATAAATCAGTTTTTCGTCATTGTTTAATAGCGACATCACGATTTTCTCAAAAAAAAAAAACATTTCAGGAAGATGGAAATACGATTTTGTAGTAGCAAACACAAAGATTCAATCACATCAAGATTGACATATCACGATGAATAACTTCTAAAATCCTAATATGGCAATGAACTCTATACAGTTAACACTAGTTTAAACCAATATAAGGGAAATCAATAATTCACTGCCACTGTCTTCCAAGGAAGAATTTGAAAGTTTTGAAGAAGAATGGCTAGATTGAAAAGTAATTACAATGTACTGGTTCTACATTTAAATTGCTAATATCTTGTATGGAATATAGTAAATAAGTGTGTACCAAAACTTTTTAAAATATATATTTGAAATTGGTTTTCTTTTATTAGGTGTCAGAATTCAGGAGAATTAGCAATGAGTTATTCTTGGGATGGTCATAAACAATAGCTGCAATCAAAAAAACTACTCCTAGCCAGATGTGCATTAGGTACGTAGGTATTAACAATTTTTATTTTACAGCTTCTACAACTATATTGTACGTAGGGTTACCAGGTAACCTGGATTGTTTTCAGAGTTCTGAATTTGAGGCAGGAATTTAGACGTAGGACATTTAGTAGCCTCACATTCATAAAAAAATGTTGAAATTACAAATTACTCTTAACGTTTTTAACTCGGTTGAGCTACTTACTAGATGAAAAAAGTATTTTTCCTTCATGTTGCAACTTCTGATGTGACAGCTGAAATTTTCATCTTAATCAACCATATCAAAGCAGAGCTTCACATTAAAACTAAGGGTGCAAAAAATGTATGGAAAATAAACAGTGGTCGGAAAATGTCGAGTCTGATAAAAAAATCTCTGATCTTCTGATGTATGCATCGTCAAAAAATAACTCCTTTTGTATATGAATTGTGCATTAGTCTGATGAAAAATGTCCTTCATATTCTGCTCCTCCCCTTGGAAATCGACATTCTGCAATTTTTAAATTTAAACCTGGCAACCCTAAATGTGTGTCAATTGTTTACCAATAACTCTATGTTTTTAGATGCCGACCATATTTCTTCATGTTGGAGTATGAAACCATGAGCATCATTAAGAGATGGTTAATCAGAGCCAAGGAGAGGTCAAAAAAATCAAGAGCTCCATTTGTAGATATAAAGAGCTACATACATTTTAGATTATAAAAATATATGTGTATACTCATGTTTATAAGTATTTACACCTGGTGTTTTTATTCCAATATGAGTAATTAGACAGCTCTTGAAGCTAACTTAAAAAATGTTTAGTCATTACATTGAAAGAATCTCATTAACTTTTAAATCTAAAATGCATTATTAATTAAACTACTGCTTTGATGCCTTCTGGAACGTGTACAGGCAAATGAAGGAAGGGAATTACCAACATAAGTGGGTAACGCCAAAGCCCGTTCCATTTTTATGGGTTCAGAGCCGGCTTTAGAGATACCAACTGCGTCGATCTTCGAATGTTGATCTTAAAATTGTTTATTTGGTGGAAAAGACAACCTATGGATTGTCACCCCGTGGCAGAATCAATACCTGCAGAGTTCTTGAGATTTCGTTACACATAGGTACTTTTCGATTGATAAAGCTAGTCTTTAACATCACTGACATTTTTCAAGAGGGTGCGAGAATTTATCAACTATCACAGAGGTCGCGTATTCACGAAGGTTGACAAGTTGTATAATTATTTTGCAAAAACGTAGTCAATTACGTATGAAACGGATCTGTTGGCTGATTTCTAGTAGGTCCGCATTTCAGGCGGATCATTGGAGTTTCGCTTCGTCGGCAGCAATCGAAATTTTTCTAAATCAAATAATGTAATATGTATGCTTTTTTCTTTTAATTTATTTTTTATAAAATAAGTACTTTTTGAATCATTTTTCATTCCCATAATGTGCATCTAACATTTCAAGAACATCAATAATATATCTGGGAAGTGTGAGGGAGCTCCTGCTAAAAATATGCTCCTCTATGCATGAGAATATCCCATTAATGTTATGTTACAAACTTGTAACCTACCATAAAATTGTTGAAGAATGTTATAAGTACACATACTGTGTATGCAATCTATGTAAACTACACGAATATGCGGCCAATAATGGCCTGTAAGTTCATTATCTAGGTCATATTTGACTTAATTGATTTACTGCGTTTTTGATATCCTTTAACTTTGCTGATGGATTTGAGCGAATAGTGTTGGATAGAAATCAAAGTTTGTTTTTTAAATTGCGGATTGCATGTGCTGATAAAGGGCAAAAATGATTTCATTAGACATTGTTTTCGTGGAAAATACATAAGAATCATAATTCATCATCAAATACAGGAAAATCTACATATTGATAATAGGGATATATGTTATTTATTGATACAGCTTCCAAAAAAAATTAGTTATTGGAAGAACTGCCAGAACTGAAGATTTTTAGAATGGTTAATCTAGATATACTGAAAACAATTATTATGAAATATTGTATTATAAAAGAATTTAACCAGCATTTTATTTAATATATTCGACCAGTGGATCCTCCCTGTTGACTGGTGGTTTGAAATTATATGGAAAAGGGGCAACACCCTCCAATTCTCCCCTACTGAGCGAGGCCGTGGCAAATGCTTATACCGAAAGTTGTTGTCCGTCCAAGTGATTGTACATGCGTTAAGGAATACCTCAGTACCGATACGACTGCTCCTTGGTGCCGATGGTGTCGAGATTGTGGAACAATCTACAAGAAGAAGCTTTTCCCAGTTGTACTAATCTTAGGCAGTTCAAAAATCGGATTAGCAAAATGACTTCGTGATTCTCATAGTAGCCGCCGTGCCAGTGTGGACAGTTCGACGTAAAGAAATTCCAGGAAACAGGGAGTTATTAAAATGTATCATGTATCTGAAAATATGATCAAGCAGCTGGCAAGATAAAAGGAATTGTGGATAAAACTATAAAACAGGTCACATAAAACTACATACCTATGGCAGCTTAAAAATAAGAAAACAGCATTAATAGAATACATTTTATTAATTCTATAGAATTTCTCATAAGAATTCCTAATATATAATAAACTCACATTCTTCTTTCCATCAATAAAATCAATCATTTAAATATCTGGGTATATAGGTATGTGGATATTAGACTACTGTTTCACGAGCAATATGTATACATTATTTCAAAAATACCAAAAAAGATAAATTAGTTCTATAGTTTCCCATAATCTCAGTAAGTATTTAAAAAAATGTGTATAACACCATCATTCTTCCACATATTTTATATTGTTCAACTATTTTGTTCACAGCAAATGAAAAACTATTTTCAAAATTACAAATTTTACAACATAAAGCTATGGGAATCATTTTAAATAAAAACAAATATGCTAGGATTTAGTCTATGTTAGAAGAACTACAGTGGTTGAATGTAAAACATTTCACATGCTATTTAGTTCTCATTTGCATATTCAAATTGAACAACCACTTATTACCACTACATTTAAAAACTTCACAAAATTAAATAGTTATTTTCATAACTATGAAAACAGAGGCAGTATAGGTTTTTATCTGCAAAACTGTAATAGTAGCATAACTAGCAAATCTGAATTGCAAAAGGCAGTATTTGAATTCAATAAATTGAATAATGATATTAAACTTCTTCGAATTTAAAAATGTTTAAGGTGAAATTAAAAAATCAAGTTATGAATACTCAAAATACATAGTGATGTAATCTTAATAGACTAGAATATAAAATTAAAGAAAATGGATTCAAAAAATGTGTAAACGGATAATTATACAAAATTGATATTGTAGCATTAATGCTAAATAAATCTGCCACAAACATCATATAATCATCATATAAAAATCATATTGTGGTTATCAAAAAACTTTGCATGTTGCAATGATGTAATTTTTTTCTAACATTAATGTATGGATGCCAAATTATTTTTTGTGGGTTTCAGAAAATGAGGTGTAAGCTAGGACATACTTTTTTTCTACAATTTGATGACAATAATGATAAGTTCAAATTGGGGTCATGGTAGCGCTGGAGCATTTTCCGACATTTAAAAAAACGCGTTTGTAGGGAATTGAATTCATCTCTTGTCTTTTATAAAACAGTAAATATGTTACAGGAAAATTAAGGGTAAAGTTAAATGTAATGACATTTTCGCTCAAAATGGCTAAACTAACAAGTGTTTAAAAGATTCTTATTCTTTTATGTAGAGAATAAAATGATTCTTCAAGTGTATGGAGCGAAAGTCAAAAATGTATACGAAATTGTCGCGCGGCATACCCAGCGCTGTACGCACGTTGCGCACGTGTCAGTATACATCTAATATTTTCGGATATTTCATGATGTAAATGCGTGTCGCTCACTTCCACCAGTCTGTTTATTGGCCATTTTGTCACTGGGTACAATCAGCAATCGTTGCAACGATTTTATTGGAAAGGGAGTGATGCAATAAACTAGTATTATCTACTACATCTCCTCTTCCATTAGAATCGGTGATATTACACAGTGACAAAATCGCCAATAGACAGACTGATGGGAGTGACTTGATCTTCATATTGAAAAAAAATCACAAATTATCAAAAAATATTAATTTTCCATGCTTGGTGAATTGGTGAATTTTTTATACTTTTAAGAACCAGTAAAATGTCCGAAAAACGTAAAAGATATTTTTTGTACCAAATTTTATTTTCTACGAAACGTAGTAGTGTTTTATACTCTTAGGTTCTTAGTTTAGCCATTATAACCGAAAATATCATTACATGTACCTTTACCCTTAATTTTATTGTAACAAGTTTTTATAAAAGCAAAATGATGGACAATTCAATTAGCCCCAAAATCGTTTCTGTATTACGTTTCTACATAGGATCGATATTTTCAATTAAACGCGTTTATCAAAATGACGGCAAACGTAAAATTTCCTTGTACATAATCTCCTCTATTTAATGGCATAGACTGAAAAAACATTAACAACTTCATGTTCCCCAAAACAGAAAATGACTTTCCTGGAAAAACGTTTAGCAAATGTGATAACTAGATCATACACGATACCATGTCATTGACTAAACACTTTTCAATTTTGTAGACATGGTTTTTGAGCATTCTTTCTGACAAAAAAGGGCGCCCATTGGAAATGGTCTTATGTGAATTAATTTTATATATATTTAGCAGTAAGCAAGAGGAAAACGTGACAAAATTTTTGTGTAAAAAAATTAACTGTATCGCTAGAATCCGCTAATAATGTCTTCGACTAACTTAGTGCCACATACATTTTCGTACAGTTATCGTAGCGTGCTTCTGATGAGGTACCTCATACCAAACTCAATGCGAAGTGTTGCCAATGTTGCAAGAGGATAAGGTAAAGAGGTCGCTCATTTTCCCATCATACCCCACGGATGTTCATTTGACGAATGGTGCCAAGAGATGATGATGATTTGGCTGTTATTGAGGTACCATACTTTAGCTCTACTCTAGAATTATTCGTAGAGTGGCAATGATCTATTCCATATAACTTCCTGGCAGTTGGAGTCGACTGCAACTCTTTGCATACATCTCTGTGAAGTAATATTCTAAACGCAGGTCTTGAGAAAACCTAAAATCAAATGTAATATATCAGTTAAGAATGAAGTCAAATAGATTGGCTTGGATGGATGTGAAGTTGGCAGACAAAATGTTGCAAAACATTTGCTGAAGATACCCGAATGATTACTGGGGTCGACATCTTAAAACAGTCTCTGATTGGGAAAAATACAGAACTGAGCGCCTGCAGTAATAAATATATATATATATATATATATATATATATATATATATATATATATATATATATTAGCCATAAAGAAATATTCAATGGACGAGGATAAGCACACTCATAGGGAGAATCATTTTCCACCCCAACTAAATAATTCGAACGGTTAAAACCTATCCCAAAATATTTCTTCCAATCAAATTACTTATTGTATATTATATGGTATTGAGGTAATTATTGAGCTAAAATGCATATAGTGAGCAGATAAAAAATATAAATTACAGTTCATTTTCAGCGTGAAATTTTGTGAATCGAGAATTCGAGTATCTTTGCTAAATTGTTTGCTATATTTTGTCATCCAAGTTCACACCACTTTGACTTGTACTTCCCACGAATTAGTAAAAATCTCACAGAAACGTAAAGAATTCAACAAACTTTTAAAAACGTTGATAAACATACCCAAAATAGGTTTGTATTTAAGAAACAATGACAAATGTGTGTTGCAGACAATACTGGTCGTCTCACAAGAAATAAGAACGTTTGAAAAAAGAATGCATTCAATTTCCAAGTGTTTGAGCACAGTAATAATGTTTGATCCTTTTGGAAACACTGTTTTGAGCAAGCTCTAAAATTGACAGAAAAAACTGAAGCTTAAAGAGGTTCTGATGATGATTGTTTTTGCCAATGTCACTCAATAATAAACTTAACTAAAACCTATGTGATTTGATAGAGCTGATTAATTAAAATTTACTTCAAACTTATCAGTGTACTGTCCAAATGTTCAAATATTTGAATAATACAGTAAAAACTTTCTTTTGATTGTGACGACTAATTTATTCATTCAATATTATCTTTTTGCTTACTTGCTTCAAAATACTGCTCAGCATGTTCAACTTGACTCGACTGATTACTGTGTTCGAGGCAAAGAAGAGAATGAAAGTTCAAACGAAACCAAACATCTTTAAAATTCACAGAACAAACTGCATGAAAATTATAATTATGAAGTAAGTATTGGTGAAACAACTTAATATTGATACTGGGTCTTCCAAATGGCTAATTGACTAATCTTACTAGCAAGAAACAATTATATATGAGCTACAGTTGAAAAGCACATTATGAATAAAAATTATATTCATCCCTCC